CCTCTAAATGGATGCTCACAACCAGTAGATGCTGGATCCCAAGCCTTCTCCTATCTTCCAGCTACTCACACACACTCAAGGAAGCTCAAATATACGGCTAGGGTTTCTTTCTGGGTTATAAAGACGATAACAGAGGCTACACATGAGTCATAAATCCTTTAAATAGGGTACAAACCCCTGAAAATTAGGGTTTCTCTCTACAAAGCCTACTCGTCAAGTCAGGGTCTTCCGAATCGTCGGGTAGGGTTTAAATCCCGCATCTCCTAATAGTCTCTACTCGACGAATTTGAGCTCTCCAACTTGCCGAGTCCATGCACAAAACCCTAAATTTAATTAATTTAAATAATACCTGGAACAAACATTACAATACCTAAAAAACATGATTATTTTTGTGTGCTTTGGTATGTGAAGCTTATTCAACGACATGAAATCTATGTATGGATTTACATTTCAATTACTAATAATACGATTTCTATTTATGGTTTCATATTATCGATTTATGGTTACTTTCATTTCTATTGTTTTGATGTATTTGAAATATAGCAAAAGTAACAATAAAAATTGAAATAATGCCGTTTAATGTTAAACAATAGTCACACTTCAAAATTTGTGTGTCTAATATAAATTGGTCATGTTTTAAAGTTTTTTAATGTTTCTAAAATTATACAATGGCCACTTTATATATATTTTTTTTCATGTGGTTAAAAGGTTACAATAGTCATGATCTAAACTAAGGTGCTGTTTGTTTTTTGGAAAAAACCTCTTCAAACCTCTTACTGCTGTGCGGCGCAGCACACGCGCAGCACTTTTCATCTCGCAGCTGTTTGTTTTTTAGAAGTATTCTGAGTCAAAAACCTCTGCGCGTGCTCTGTTTGGCGCAACACTTGTACTGCCTCTTCCAACCTCTTCCAACCTCTTCTTCTTCTTATTTTATTGCTGAAATTTTGATTATATGTTATTAAAATTTTATTTCATATTTTTTTTCCTTTTTTTTTCATTTATTCTTATTGAATTTATTTTTCATTCTTTTTATATTCAATAATAATAATTTCTTGATGAAATATCATTATTTTTTACTGAAAATATCTTTATTTTTTTGTTGAAATATCATTCTTTTTTACTGAAATATCATTAATTTTTACCGAAATGTTATACATTATTAAATTTTACGTATTAAAAAGCTATTTCCGGTTTATAAAATTAGTTTATTTTAACTTTTTAATATCTGCAGCAGTATGTAGCTGTTAAAAAAACAAACACGCTTCTTATTATAGTCTGCAGCCGTTTGGTCCACCTCTTCTACTGCAGAGGGTTGCAGAGGTGATCCGCAGACTTCATGAATTTTTGCTTCAGAAAATCAAACAGCACCTAAATATGTGTCTACAAGTGTTTTAATATCTTGTTTTCAATGTTTTGTGACGATAACTTAAACAATAACAACGTCAAAAAAATGGTGTCAAATAATGCCACATGTCACTAAATTCAATAATCGCATGACTAATAACACTTATATTGTAACATTTAGCTAATATTTGTGTCAGTAAAAAAAAATCGATATGTTAATATACAAATAATGTGACAATATCCATATTTATGTTCATCTAAATTGTGTGTTGACATGACATTAATACTTATAGTTTAAATAATTATCTATAATTTTAGTACATATAATAGTCATAATCAATAATGTTTGCATGCCTAAATGATAAAATATGTTATACTAATGATCAAGTTTTATGGAAATATATAATACTAGTCACAATAACAAACACTGTTGTGTATATAAATAAATAACGATTACTTTTAATTGAATTTCTATTTCGAAATAATACAAAATAGTCATAGTTACGATTTTTTTTTATATTTTTGAGTTATAGCATCGGTTATAATAAATAATACAAACATAGTCGTAAGCTAATATTAAATCCACAATTTTAATAAAATATGTGTCTTTATAATATTTATAATCATGTTTCATTTAATTGTGTGTCTTTATATGATAGATAATAGTCACCACAAGGAAAAAGACCATTACCGGCGACAAAAGTCGCCGGTAAAAGTCCCAAATGTCGCCGGTACTGATAATAGCGGCGACGCGTCGCCGGTACTGCCTCGTCGCTATTGATCAGTTTGTCGCCGCTAAAGATAATAGTCGCCGCTATTAGTGTGTCGCCGCTACTGACAATTGTCGCCGCTAATAATCTTGTCGCCGGGACTGACATTTGTCGCCGGTAATAGTGTCGCCGGCAAAAGTGTCGCCGGTAATGATAACTGTCGCCGGTAAAAGTGTCGCCGGTAATTTGTTTTCAATTTTTTTTTTTAAAATAACGATTTTCGTTGCCGGTGATAATATCGCAGGTAAAAGTGTTGCCGGTGATAATATCGCAGGTAAAAGTGTCGCCGGTAATAACAATATTCGATTAAATATCAAAACCAATAGTGTCGACGCTAATTACAAAACAAACATCCTATTAAATATCAAACATAATAGTGTCAAACAAACATCCTATTACAAACAAACATCCAATATACAATTAAATATCAAAAGTCATACTATCCGAATAGCAAAACAACAAAATTTTTACATTCTACTAAGTAGCAAAACGAGACAACATATAAGTTTTTTTTTTTTGTGTTTTTTTTTTCCAATTATAAGTTAACTATATAACTTATTGGTTAATTAATTTGGAGTTAGCTTGGGTAAAAACTAGAAACTTTCTAGTTTTTGTATATAAGTTTTTAAACAATTTTATAGTTTTTTTTTTCAATTTATAAAAATAATGTATTTTTTTTTATTTCAATTATAGCATCCTACTTATACCAAAACCACATAGTTTTACATAATACATAAGAAGGTGAAATTCACATACTTTTACATACATATACCACATATACATCAAATACAAATACACACAAAATAACATCCTATTTAAACCAAATACACATAATTTCACATATATACATAATAACATCCTATTTATACCAAATACAAAAGTTTCACAATCATATATCACATTTACAACAAACATACATACATTCACATACACACAATAACATTCTACTTATAACAAATACATATAACTTCTACTAATATACCACATATACATCAAACACACATACATTGGAATATATATACCAAATTCACATATATTCAAACAAATACAAAATATACAATCCAATTTTCACATATGACAATTATCACAGAATTTCACATATAAATACAACTTGAAGCTATACAACTAATTGCAATTAAATAACCACAAACAAAAAATTGAATAACTTGCTTCTAATCCAAAACAATACCACCAAAAACAAAAATATGAACAATTTATTATCATTCAATCACTACATAAAGCTACAAATCAAAATTCATACAAAATTAAAAAGAAATCATAAAAAAAAACTTACCTTTCTTCAACAAATGGAGGCACCTACAAATTGATCCCAAAGCTTTAACCACTTGCTTGGAACAATGCTTCTAATCCAAAACAACACCACCAAAAATAAAGAACATGAGCAATTTATTATCATTCATACAACACAAAAATGAAATCATCAAAATAAAACTTACCTTTCTTCAAGAAATGGAGGTAGAAATTGATCACAAAGCTTTAACCACACCTAGGGACACTTGCTTGGAACAATGAGGGGAGAAATTTGCTTGAAAGAAGCAGATTGAAGAAGAAATCGGAAAAATGGTGAAGGAACTCGAAGCAAACAGAAAGGGAAATGAAGAAGGAACTGTAATCTGCGTGCGTTTTTTTTTTTTTATCTGCGATCATCAATAGCGGCGACACCTTTAGCGGCGACGCGAGGGTCAATACCGGCGACAATTGTTAATAGCGGCGACAAACTGGAGGGAAGGGTACCGCGTCATTTTTAGCAGACAATTAGCGGCGACTTTTTTAGAGTTTTAGCGGCGACATGCGTTTCGCCGGTATTAGATTAGACCGGATAAGGCACCCCACCCGTTGGATTGGATATCTCATCGAACGGTTGAGATGCAATGTAGGGAGAAAGTGCGGATTCGGGTGACAACCCTTTAGCGGCGACACTATTAGCGGCGACTATTGGCTTTACCGGCGACTCTAGCTAGAGTCGCCGGTAAAGCCAATAGTCGCCGCTAATAGTGTCGCCGCTAAAGGATATATTTCTTGTAGTGAGTCACACGAAAAAATTATTCTTGTAACGAATTATTAGCAAATCGTCACTTGTAAAATTAATTACATGTAACCATTCAGTGAACATGGTTATGTTCAACCAAGTTTCATGTTTGAACTGTGTGACAATTTATTAGCAAATCGTTACACTGAAACATGTATGTCGCCGTTGTGATATACAGTTACTACAATTAATAAAAAAATTGTCTCTATTTACAGGTTAAAACCGTAATATTGGATAAAATGATTGATTTGTACAACAAAATTCTCTCTGATACATTACTAAATATTAAATTAATCATAAGCGTATCACTATATATATACAGACACGCATATTGTCACATTTTTATGGTGTGTGATGATATTTTTATATAAGTGATCAGAGCACACACGTACGGGACCAGCAACTCTTGCAGGAAAGCTTTGTAATGCAAAGAAACAAGAATATTAATTCTTGACAAAATATTCATGTTCTACCAATAAACAAAACATGCATGTATGAGCAGCCACACGTGCACCTCGAAAACCTTAACTTTCGTTGGTTGCCACTTTTGTATGACCAGATCGGTAAGCCACCCAACTCTCTGCAGAAAGCCAAACGGTCAACCATGGACACACGTACGTACGTAGACACACACACATGAGAGAGAGAGAGAGAGGGTTGACCAAGTGTTTTATGAGTGAGCTACCTGCCAATGTCTCACACGCTCTACGGCGTTGAATTCTTTATTCACAAATCACAAAGTCATGCACCTTTTATGCTAATCATGCAATGACCTCCATTTCTATACTTAAATACCTCACCCAACCACAAAATATATATATTTAATCATACACATTCTTGATAGAGAATAAATTTTCAACTTAACAAAACCTTGATATTTCCTCTCCATTCCACACATATCCTCTTTCTCTTCTCCTTCTTTCTCCTATTACCTTTTTTATAAGTTTTTAATTCCATATCAAAAACAGAAAACTCTGTAAACTTGCTGGCTATTGCTTTCTAATTATAAAGAAAAGAAAAAGGGAAGAAGGGATGGGTAGAATCCCATGTTGCGAAAAGGAGAGTGTGAAGAAGGGTCAGTGGACCCCTGAAGAAGATCACAAGTTGTCTTCCTACATCGCTCAACATGGGACTCGTAACTGGCGCCTTATTCCCAAAAATGCAGGCCTCCAAAGATGTGGGAAGAGCTGTAGGTTACGTTGGACTAACTACCTACGCCCTGATCTAAAGCATGGACAATTCTCCGATGCTGAAGAACAAATCATTGTCAGGCTACATTCTGTTCTAGGCAACAGGTACAAATTAACAGCACCTATGATGTATGTATGTGTGTGTATGCATTCTCATGAGAAAAATCTGAGAGATTGTACCTATACGATGCAAGTACAGGTGGTCCGTGATAGCCGCACAGCTGCCAGGACGAACAGACAATGATGTGAAGAACCATTGGAACACGAAACTGAAAAAGAAGCTCTCAGGTATGGGAATCGATCCAGTTACGCACAAGCCTTACTCCCACCTCATGGCAGAGATAGCCACCACTCTCGCACCTCCACAGGTGGCTAACCTCGCAGAAGCAACTCTCGGATGTTTGAAAGATGAGATGCTTCATCTCCTAACCAAGAAGCACATAGATATTCAATTCCAATCCCCTACTCATGCTCCTGCACCACCACAAAATGCCTCCACATCACCTTCTTATAATATTTCTTCTAAGCATGAAGCAAATGATGATCATGATACGATTGAAAAGATCAAGCTTGGATTATCAAGGGCAATCATACACGAGCCACAGACAATCAACAAACCTTGGGACGCTAACGGAGCATCATCTGCAAACTTTCCTGGATTTCATTATGCCCTTCCATCGTTTGGTCATGAAGGAGACGGATCTCCCTGGAGTCAGAGCATGTGCACGGGTAGCACATGCACGGCAGGTGACCAGCAACCTCAGTTTCATTCAAAATTAGCCGATGGTAACGCCGATGACTCTGAAGGAGAAAAAGATACAAGAAATGTTTCAAGTATGTTCAGCCCCGACTGTGACTTGTGGGATCTACCTTCCAACGATCTCATGAATCCTTTAGTTTAGATAAGATCCAAGATTGGAAAAGGCAGAATAATAAATCCACATGTTCCTTAATATACACAAGTATCAAAGAAGAAGCTCGTCTTATCCCTCTACGCTGCTAAAAATCTTGAATCTTTTTTTTAACGGCAAAAAATAAAATAAATAAAAGGCTCGAAAATAGTGATGAGCTAGGGTAAATGCAAACTTGAATCTTTAAGAACATGCATCCACAATACATAGTAGGATGTCATGGCGATAATCAATGTATATGAAATTCGGTGGTTGTGTAAGTATTTAACCATAAAAATGAATCTTCTAAGTTGACAAAACTGCAAAAATATCCCTATTGTATGCATCTTTTTCGAGGTTTGGTCCAAACATCGATTTATTTATTTATTTATTTATTTTTTGGTTTTATGGTCCTTTGGCCTGGTTTTGTATGTGGAAATGGTCTCCCAACTTAACTCCCGTTAAATTGTTGTTGTTAACCCAATCACGTGCCACCCACATGAGGACATTTTTGTCTTTTCAACTTTTAGGGACCATTTTTGCAAATGGAAAATATCTTATACCCTTTAAATGTGCCCCACCATTGCTATCTTCCCCAATGTCTTCCTCAACGACTCTTTTCTTCCTCTTCTTCTCAAGCTCTTACAATAATAATTGTGCTTTGTTTTTGTGGAATGCTTGTTGTAATGAAAACGTCATGGACCCAACTGAATCCTGAAAAGAGGTTTTTTGCATGCCCTATAAACGATTCTGTTTGTGGGTTTATCTGGTGGCTTGACCCCGATAATGTGTGCTAGGGCTAAAGTCGTCATACCTGATCCGCTAAGAAATTTGAACTCAGTGCAAGAACGGTGCAATCAGTTGGTTAAAATTGACAACATGCTAGAGGATCAATGCAATAGATTGATAAGCAAAAACAACATCTTGGTTAAAACTGGCAACATGGGGTTCTTTTGTTGTAAGTTGATTTGAACATGTTTGTAATGAATTATGTTCTAAATCCCTATTTTTATCAACTACAAGTTTGCTTCCTAACATCCACAACATGTTGATCTTGCAAAGCTCCAGCTACCTGATACTTGTCTCACCCATTCCACCTGGAAATATATTGTGAAGCAACTCATTTTCGGGCATCTGGGATGCTTGTTGTTGTTGGTGTAAGAGGTCCTTTAGCCCTTTTCATTTCCTTCATAACATTTCATATCATCTTCATTAGGTATTCCCTAATGTACTCTAAACATCCAATGACAAGTTTGTCCCTTCTTTTCTTTATCTTCCCATTAAACACCTCACACATGTTTGAAATCTACACATTAGAAACTACTCTTCAGGTTCGACATGACAATACCAAAGAATTATGTAAGTCCCGAATTCTCCTACAAATCAATCGGATTCACTTTGATGGTGTAGAATCCCAATCAAGTGAATGATGCAAGATATAAGATGAATAAGAACACAAAATGAATCTTTAATGCACACAATATATTGATTAATCGTCCATTACATAAGATTCCGATTACACGCTATTTTCTCTATAGATCTCTCAAAATCACGTCCTTAGCATATGGCAGCCCCTCTTGAACGTCTAACTCACTATACAAAGCATAAATAACACTATTTATACCTAGACCTAATAACCAAGCCCAAGCCCAAAACTCAAACAAAACAATATAAGGCCTAACCGAAATCACATGCGATTTCGGTCCAATCAACACGAAAACATGGTGTTTTCTATCCTAGATCAAGAAATCTAATACCTTAAGAAAAGGAAAATATAAAACACAATTTATGACCTAACAATCTTCCCTTGGTTTATAGCTTTCTTTTCTTTTGACCTAATAAACTCCCCCTTTTATTGTACATTTATAGTCTTTTAAAATATTCACCTTGTTCCTGAATTCAACATTTGTCTTCGATTTCTTCACAGCTTCAAGATGAACATATGAATCTTCATGAATAACTTCATCTTTAATAGTTGGGCTTTTCTTCGAAATTTGACTTGGAACGCATATTCGGTCTAGAGGCTTCTTGTGAGGATTCTTGAAAAACAACACTTGCAGCGTTGATAATCTTCGGAGAAAAAACAGATAGACCTATTCTTCTAAATCATTTCAGCAAGTTCATAGATAGTAGCAAATTGATTGAGGAGGCTTCAATGCAATCTGTCACATAATCTTCAAAACCAACTTCACCTTGTTTTTCGGGTTGAAAGAATGAATGTTGAAAGATAATCTTCACTTCTTGTTCCTTCGAATGAAAGTTCCTTAACGATCACCGTTGCTCCTTGAAAAGTAACAAATGACTAAAAAGTCCCCGTTGATCACAGAGTTATAAAAACCATACTCACCACAGTTGTTCAAGAACCTAGCATTGGCTCAAAATGAGACTAATCGCAATATCTGTGTGAACACGGAGGAACGCACTGCGATTTGTTGAGTATCAGAGAACTACTCATGGCTATTTTGATGTTAGCCCCTGCATATCCTAGATCATAGAAATCAACGAAGTTTTTCAAGTTAAACAAGTTAACTTGGCCCTTGGAGAGACGTTCAACAATAATCATGCCTTGCGATGTGCGTCGCCCTGGTGCCATGACATCTGTACACTTTCAAACTTTTAATTTGTAACATTTGGATTTCCAGGTATATTATTTTATTCATTTATTTTGAGTTTGGGGAGAAACTCGGCGAGTTGATGCTTAGACTCGCCGAGTAGGACCGCGAATTCTTATCCAGATTGGCGACCGGAATCAACGAGTCGACTCGTGGACTTGGCGAGTCCACGCTGTTAAGTGAAACCCTAATTTCTCAGGTTTGGGATCTATTTAAAGGCTCTTTTAGCCTTCAGATGCGGCTACCAGACCCTAGAGAGAAACCCTAAGAGAGCTAGGACGTTTGTGAGGAAGGAAAGGCCATTTTTGATCCTTGTGTTGGTGTTCTTGCAAGAAGAAGGTGACCAAGGCAAGAGGAAGCTGAAGAGGGTGCTATTCTATAGATTTTAGAGCCCATGGACTTCATATTTGAGGTATAGATTCCATCCTTCTTCAGTTTTGGTGTTAACCTTTGGAGTTAGGGTTTTCTAGACCCTTTAGAGGCTTGATTGGATGAGCATTTGGTCCCTTCTCGTATTGAGGCTTTGGATCTGGATCCAAAGAGGTCCAGAGACCATAACCCTTTGATCTTTATGATTGATATTAGGAGACATGAGCTTAGGATGTCATATTTGAGGATATTTCTCCAAATAGAGCCTTTAGGCCTTTGCATGAGCATCAAGCTCTAAACTTTACGTAATTATCATGCTTGAGAAAGTTAGATCTATGGATTAGAGGAACAGATCTGACCTCAAGAGGTCATTTGAGTATGAGCATGGCATGAACTCGCCGAGTCCAAGGGCAGACTCGACGAGTAGGGGTAGATTTCCCTGAGAACCACATAGTTGGTGACTCACTGAGTTGGGGAAGTGACTCGGTGAGTCATTGGGGATTTAGAGGACTTGAGTTCATGACTGAACTCGCCGAGTCACAATTGTGCACTCGACGAGTCTGGTCAAGATTTGACAGTTGACTTTTGTTGACTTTTAGGGTTTGGTCAACAATTGGACTTGTGGACCGTTTGAAGGGTTAAATGGTCTTTTAGCCTTTTTAGAGGACATGTGAAAGTCTAGTCTAGCCTGGAGAGCTGTTATTGATTGAGATGATTGTTATGTGTTTAGGCAGAGGCTAGATCAGTGTATACGCGAGCGAGGTATTACCCGAGACATCTGAGGTGAGTCTTCTCACTATACTTTACCTTGAGTAGGTAACCAGAGTTATGTGATAGAGTATCTTGTATGCTATCTATGTGATGTGTTGCACTACATTATTTCTATGTGATTTATGTTGTGTGTATACCAGAGTTAGGACCGGAAGGTCCAAAAAGCTAGGACCAGGGGGTCCACAGAGTTAGGGCCCAAGGGCCCACAAGAGTTATAGCCTTAAGTGGCTAATAGGTGTTATATGTGGTATTTTGGGGAACTCACTAAGCTTCGTGCTTACAGTGTTTTGTGTTATGTGTTTCAGGTACTAGTGAGGATCGCGGGAAGGCGCCGGCATGATCAGTACACACATACGCGGAGTTTTATTTATACGTTATGATCTTGGGATTTTTACTTATGTTCGAATATATGAAACAATGAGTTTTATAATATTGTGAAATAAAGTGTTTTTAAAATGTGAAAATTTGTTTGAAATTTTACGGCGTTACATAATTCCTTAAATACGATAATTCTTTAGAAAGAAACTGCCTAACTGACAATTTATACAATTTTCAATCCTTCAATTCCTTGGATACGACAGTTAATAGTAAGTAACTACCAAACTGATAAATTGAACGGTTTCGTTCCTTCAATTCATTGTGAAAGTAGTGTGAAGTGTAATGACCGTTAATTCCTTTTCAAACTTCTTCCCCTTGTTCAGAAAATTTCAGTACAGTCTTCTAGAGTCTCTTCTTCTTTTTGAATTTGTTTTTCAAGACGAAATTTTTTTTGAGATAAAACAAAAGTAAAAATAAACTTAGCACACAATAGAAATAAATAAGAAATAAAAATAAAATAAAATACACTAAAAAGTAAAAATAAAATATTTTTGGATTTTTTATTTTTTTTGAAAAGGAAATCAAACATAAATAAACCTATTTTTGGATTTTTAAATTTTATAATTTTTGTTTGAATTTTTTTAATTCTTCCCCTAAATTTGTGCATAGAGGAAAAATATGAAAAAAATTTAACAAAAACAAAAATAATAACTAAAATTAAAACTTTTTGTGATCAAATTTGTCGAGCAATTCAATATTGTTTATCAGCACACACCTATATGTTTAGATCTGGTCAATCATCGGTATTGTGGTCCATTTAAACACAAAAGGATATTTGACAAATTAGACAGATCATAAATGACAAGTCATAATGATCTTATTCCTAAATAGATCATTTTGTTGATGACAATCAATGATATTGTTGTCCACTTAAATTCAGCAGCAAGATCGACAAACAACCTTTAGTTAGTTGAATTTTTAAGTTCACTAGAACGTGTTCCCCAGTTTATGACATACCCTGGCAATCAAGGAATTACAAAGAGCTCTTTACTTTAGGTGAGTGCTCAACTATTTGAGAGAGAATATAGATATAAAAATGCATATGTTGTATCCCAGGTCGGATGTC